ATACATTAGATTATATATATAATTTTAACATGAAAATTGGTAAATTTTATGGGAGTATGGAGGAAAACTTAAAAATGGTATTTTTGAGTTTTGACCATGAATTTGGATATGGAATTGAGAATAAATTATATATTTGAAATTATGGCGCTATGGGTAATATTTATCTTCAAGAGTTTTCAGAATCCAAGCACGTAGGCCCGAGAGTTGACTTTGTTGACCTTTTGTGCGGAGTTGAGAATTGTTTCTAATTGTTAAATTACGAGTCTTTGTATTTTTATTGGTTTACATGTTCTTTGACTAGTTTTAGATAGTTTGGCATTGGTTTGCAATGTTAGAGAGGCGTTAGAGCCGGTTATTAAATTTCAGAGTGTGGTAAGTCTCCTATCTAACCTTGTAAGAGGAAATTTATCCGTAGGTACTATATTTGTTATATGCTACATGTTATGGGAGCTATGCACATACGAGGTGATGAGTGTCCATGCGTATGCTAGATTCTTGATCATGTCCGAGTAGACTTAGGCTCACACTATATTTTAATGTACTACTTGAGTTATTCTTGCCTATTTAAATGCCTTAATTTATATTTTAGCCCGAGACTAGACTTGCGTAAAATATCAGACTTGCTATTTTAGATATTTAATTGTGCAGATACTGAGATAAGTACTTCAGGCGGTCATTCGGGCGTGTAGACGCACTACCTGGAGATTTAATTGTGAGTTGCTCTCCATGTTTCGATCTGTAGCAACCGGAATTTCCTTCTTGTCATGTTTATTTTTTCTGTCTATTTTATTTCAGATAGTAGCTATAGCGATTTTGTATATTTTACTAGATTTCTCATGCACTTGTGACACCGGATTTTGGAGGATGTAGTGGATGTTCACAGTTGTACCTAATGTTATTATTATTACTTCACTTATGTTTCATTTATACTCTATGACTTGGTAAGGAGGAATGTATGTTTCCCATGGTTTTATAAATTAAATTCATTTTGCTTAATGAAATTTCCTGTGTTTAAAAGTTAAAAATGGATAACTAAGTGGGAGGTTCACCGTTGGCTTGCCTAACGACACCATTGGGCGCCATCACAACCTATGATGGAAATTGGATCGTGAAACTGTTGTACATGAAAAGGTGATAAACTAACCTATTCATGAGGGGGAGAATCGAGGGAACAACAACGAAGATCCCATGAACCCTGAGCAAAGTGAACACAATGAACCAATCCATAAGTCACAAGGAAAAAAAACATCTGCCATCTCTGATAATTTTATCGTGTGTGTGACTAAAACTATTACTGATACCGGAGAGTTGACTGATCCTTTATAATTTGCTCAAACTATTTCCTCTCCATATGTTGATAAATGGCGTGAGGAAATGAAAGATGAAATGCACTTTATGGAACATAATATTGTGTGGAAGTTAGTTGAATTGCCTGTAGGTTTTAGGCTTATTGGTTGCAAATGAGTATTTAAAACTAAAAAAGACTCCAAGGGAAACATAGACCGTTACAAAGCAAGGTTGGTTTCTAAGGATTACACTCATAAAGAAGACATTAATTATAAAGAAATATTCTTTCATGTTTCATCTAAGGATACATTTAGAGTTGTGATGGCTCTTGTAGCCCATTTTGATCTAGAGTTGCACCAGATAGATGTTAAAACTGTTGTCTTGGATGGGAGTCTGCTTGAAAAAGTTTACGTGGTTCAACCTGAAGGGTTTAAAGAAGATGATAAAGAACATCTAGTGTGCAAGATTAACACACACACACACACACACACACACACACACACACACACACACACACATATATATATATATATATATACAAGCCTCCAAGCAGTGGTACTTGAAATTCGATGAAATCATTACAAAATTCAGATTTGTGGAAAATAAGCTTGATGAATGTGTTTATCTCAAAATAGCTAATGGAAATTTAAATTGTGGTTCTCTATATTGATGACATTCTACTTGCCACAAATGATTTGGGTTTGATGAATGAGACCAAATAATTTTTGTCTAGGTCTTTTGATATGAAAGATCTTAATGAAGCCTCTTTTGTTCTTGGGATTGAAATTAAAAGAGATAGGTCACATGGTTTGTTCGGTTTATCCGTGTTCCTATATTAAGAGTGTTCTTAAAACTTTCAATATGCAAGTCTATAGACCTGGTGTTGCACCTTTTGTGAAAGGGAATAAACTTAGTAAAGACCAATGTCCCAAAAATGAAGTTGAAAGGAGAACCGTAAAAGATGTACCATATGCAAGTGTTGTTGACAGCTTGATGTATATACAGGTTTATACAAGGCCTGATATATCATTTGTTGTTAATATGTAGGAAAGATTTCTTCTAATCCTGGGTTGGCACATTGAGTGGCTGCAAAAAAGTGATGAGATATCTAGAACGCACCTAAGACTTCATGCTTGGGTACAAAAAAGTTGATGATCTAAACCTACTGGTATATTCAAATTCTGATTTTGCAGGTTGTCAAGACACTATAAAATTAACTTGTGAGTATATCTTTATGTTAGCTGGAGGTACTTTTTCTTGAAAAAGTGAGAAATAGAGTATCACTGCTACATCCACAATGAAAGCTGAGTTTATTGCTTATTTTGAGATTGCTTCACCTGCTGTCTGGATGAAGAATTTTCTTACTAAATTACAAATTGTGGGGATTTATATCTAAGTCGGTGACTATTTTATGTGAAAATAGTGCAGCTGTATTCTTCTGTAAGAATACTAGGAGGACAAGAGGCTCTAAGCGTGTTAGACTTAAGTATCTTAAGGTTAGAGATATGGTAAAAGAAGATGATATATGTATTGAATATATTAACACATCTATGTTGGATGATCCTTTGACTAAAGATGATAGATGTCATATTCATGGAATACGATTCACTTTCAAGATGCCTTGGTGGTGAAATGGTAGACATGCAATACAAGGGTATTTAGAGTCTTTTGATGTGCTTTAGTCATTGGGAGTTACTTTATAATTGCTGACTGCGATATCACTTTTAATAAATTCTATTTCTATGCAAGTTTGTGTTATTTTATATTTGTTATACTTATTAACTAATGTGATAATTTATTTATTTTTTATTTTCAATTAGATATTGCTACTTTTTGCCTTGATTATCTCGGGTAAGACACAAGAGAAACCTCCTGAGATGATATGATTTTTGTGTCACTTGGAGGCTCCTGAGGTGATATGGTTATTATATCACTTGGAGGATTATTTTTTTCTAAGAGATATGGCTCTGTTCACCTTGATTAGAAAGATAATATACTTAGCACACATGTTTGATCCATGTTATTAAAAATTCTAGCACATATGATCATAGATAGAATTTATACCTTGAAATGGTGTGATACCTGCTACGATTTATTGTTAGTGTTCTCCATTGAGACTGGATGAATTTTTATATGGGTCATTCTACCCTTGGCTATGTGAGTACTCTGGCCATTATAGAGTCTAAAATCTTTTTCAAAATATTTTTTTAAAACTCAAAAGTTTTAAAATTATTTTCTTGTCCTCAATTAACGTTAACGTCTAAGCGGGAGAAAATTAGAATTTGGACTTACGTTAATTAGTTATAGCCTGAAAGGAGAGTGACGTGGCCCAAGTGGCGGATAAATAAAAGGCCTAATATTAAATACTATGTGTGTGGATAAGTGAGACCCAATAACAATTGGCCTGTGATGGGTAAACACTTTTTATAAATAGAGGCCAACCTCCTTTTCCCTAGCTATTAGAAAACCCTAGCGTATTCCTTCTCTTGAATATGTGATAATGATAGACATCCAATCAGTCAAGTTCTCGGGGCCGTAAGAGTGGGCTAGTGGATTGTGGAAGTTGGTCTCACGCTTAATCGTCGTTTGCTGTCGGTGTTGAATTGATGGAGTTGAACAATAAACTTCCTTAAACTCTAACTCAATATTATGATTTTATATCTGTATGATTGTGTCTTAATCTCTACTATGATTGCGAATTAATTATCTAACATCGTAACCTAAAAAATATGTAATAATTTCAGAGAGTACAGTCAAAGAACGTTATACATATTATTCATTAAGATATATATTTAGTGATGGATAAAGTTAAATTGGTAATGCCTTGCATATACTACAAGAAAGCATGAAATTTGCAACAAATTTATTTGTTGCCATATATTGAATATTATTGCGAAAAGTACTTTTGCCAACAACGGGAAAGTTGTTGCATACCGTTGCTCTTAAATACATTTTTGCTCATTTATTACCTACCTACTTGTGAGTTTAACACATGTGCACAAGAAATTTTCTACGGTAATTCTAAGTTGGTAACATAGAAATTAAACTAACTAACCTGCTATAACTGATAACAACACAATGATAATGTAAAATTATTTTAAAATGCTCATTGGCTAAAAGTTAAATCCTTTAGTATTTTTAGCGTTTGGTACATGGAATAATAATAATAATCACGGAAATTTTTTTTGGAATTAATGTTATCCCATGTTTGATTTGAGGTATTAACTAATCACGGGATAACCTTTACACTAAAATGGTGAAATTAACTATCTCATATAAAAAGTATGATAACTAATTCTATGGGATATCCTACCCATGGGATATGCTGAGATATTTTTTTCCATTGTACCAAACGATCGGTAACTCTTTTTCTTTTTGGCGCAAAATAATTTAGTACCGTTACCCGGCATGTTGTGCATTAAATTGTTTCGTAGCAAGTAAAGAGTTAGTTCGAAGAGTAAATTTTGATCGAGACAATTATAGAAGGAGATTGGAAATGACTACTTTATGCATTGAGTAATTGACCCCCACCAGAAACACAAGGTCCAATTCGTAGGCCTCTCTTAGTTATTAAACCTACCTCCCTCTCCACCCCACCCCACCCCACACCAACCTAATTGTGTGGCGTCAGAGACGTAGGGGCCGGGGTGGGGTACCTCTTTAATATATGCATTGAGTTCTCTCTCTATATATGCCTAGTTAAATGTAGTTAATATGCAGTCTCACAAGAAACAACATTGAGAAATTAAAAATGGGTCAAAAAAATGGTTGCATTTTTCGCAAAGGCAGCAGTATTGTTGTTCCAGAAGCAGAAAAAAATGTTGAGTTAGGGACACTTTCCTCTAACCAGATGGACTCTCTTACTGCTATTTGTGACACTATTTTACCTTCCATTGATGCTAATTCCTTTTATCATCAAGAAGCCATTGATGATCCTTTCACTAACTTCCTCCAAACTTCAGCATCCATGACCGGAACTCCTCAACATGTAAGAGCTTTTTTTTGCTTATGCTTTACCTTTTTCCCTTTGTGTTTTTTTCTTTTTTCTTTTTGAGGCGCCATTTTTGGCTACATTTCTTAGATCGTGTTATTTGTTCTATTTTCTATTTTTTTTTCCAATTCACACGAGGATATTGCTCATTACAAGCAAAATACTATAATTTTTAATACATTATAACGTACTAGTAGTATATATTTACACATTCCCGGCCTTCTAAAAGATTTTGTTATTTTTTCATCTAATTATGAAATTTCTTTTTAATTATCAGATTGCATGGATGATAAGCAATAGATTGCAACATCCTAAGCTCAACTTGTGCAAAATTGCACTATGGCTATTATCAACGAGGATAGGAACTTTGATACTTTGTGGTAAGGCAAGCTTGTCAAGCCAATTTCCATACTTGCAGAGCTTCTCTAGGATTTCACCTAACAAGAGAGAAGAGATAGTCCTATCATGGTCAACTAGCTGTTTCAAACTCCTAAGGATTCTCTTTTCTGCCATAAAAATTCTGGTTCTCCTAGTATTCTTCACTCAGGTATCCAATTTTAATTTGTATTAATGTCTAGTTTTTCTTAATATTGTAGAGCTACCCTCTTCTATTTTTGCTCTATCTACTTTTGGCCATAGTGGAAGCTACGTATTCCCAATAATATTCACCAATCATATTGCGGGTTGGTTGAAATTGCTTTTACTCATTCGAGTGCTTTCAAACAGAAAATACATTTGGCATGCATGCAAAGTTGCAAACCTTATTTTCTTCTCTCTTTTATTTTTTTATTTTTTTGGTTCTCTCGATCTTCTTTTTAATTCCCCTTCGTTTTCCTTAGGAACTTTGTTGTAAGGTGGGCATAAAATTCGAAAAATTGGACCGGTTCGAATTAATTCGGTATTTCGGTATCGATTATTCGGTATGAATTTTTCGGTAGTTCGATATTTCGGTACCGTTCTCAATATTGAATTTTAAATATTTCGGTATACCAATATTTTAAGCAAGCCTTCCCACCACTTTCCCGTCCAATTTCCGAATTTCCCATTTTGAGCCCAAATCCAACTTATTACCCCTGTCCCCTGGGCCAGTGATTACAAGGACTAAAGTGAGATTAAAGTATGTAAAAATTCAATGCTTTTCTTACACAGCAAATTCAAATGGATGTTGGGAAAAATCAAATATCTTGGCTACGGTAGTCTACGAAATCAAGATTTATAAGCAAACTATTCACCTTTGAAGGTATTATTTCTTTAATGTTATTACTAATAATAATACTGAAACCTACCGAAACCATACAAGAAAATATTGAACCATATCGAACTACTTTGGTATGGTATTTTATATGTATAATTAATATACCGAATAACGAAGTACCAAAGATACCCTACAAGTGAACGGAAGATAAAATAAGCTAGCTAGTGTCACAAGTTTTAGATGTTTTTGGTTCCCAAGAGTGTATCTTGCACAATTCTTATTTTTAGGATTGCAAATCTCATATTATTTTAAGAAAGTTTATTACTTATAAATTTCTTTTTACTGATTTGATGGTGTAAAAAATTGAGGCTCAGTCCCTCTTGCTTTAGACACAAAAAATATGAGGCCCCAGAGACTTACTCTTCTTACATGTATTTATTATTAATTAATGACAAGTACTGTAAATCCTTTCATCGATTTGCTATCTGCTTGCCGACAATACTCATTAATCACATAGTTCCAAATGATGCTATTTTTAGGAATTTGGTTGAACGCACGAAAATGTCATGTTTTTTTGCTCCATCTAGAAATCAATTTCTTTTACACATGGCTATGTACAGTTTCTTCTTTCTAACTCTATATGTGCACACTCCATCAAGTTTACTATTTTCACGTAATTTGGCTCCAACTTGAATCTATCTCTTTTACAATTGTAGCTGTGTTGTGTTCAATTTCTTCTTTCAAACTCCATGTGCATTGTGCACACTCAAACAAGTTAACTATCTCCATATTGATGATTTATTTTTAAGATTACAATAGTGCTAAGAGAAATTGTACAAATAACATACTATAATAATACATTAATTTGATATATTTAATCAAATAAAATGACTTGATTCTTTTTCAAATGCTTATATTGCTTATTAAAGTAATGTTAATAATTTTTGTTACAGTTGCTTCAGTTGACACAAGTTTCTCAAAATAAAACTAATTAAAATGTTACTTAAGATCAACATGGTCTCAAGAAGATTAAAATAAATTGGCTATATTGTCAATTAAAAAAATAATATTAAAAGAAGTTATTACAAAAAAGATACTTAGTAATAACAACGATAAAAAACGATATGCAATTAACATCTTAATTTGCATCTCAAAAGCTAAAAGTATAAAATTAAGAAAAAAAAAGTATATACATTCGATAAATAAGGCTAAGGCGACTTATTAAAATTCGATTATAGATCACCATCAAGAAATTGGCTATATTGTCAATTAAAATTCCACTTATTAAAAAAAAAATAAGGACAAGATTGGGTTGTTCTAGTGGTAAGCACCCTCCACTTCCAACAAAGAAGTTGTGAGTTCGAGTCACCCCAAGAGCAAGGTGGGGAGTTCTTGGAGGGAGAGAGCCGAGTTTCTATCGGAAACAGCCTCTCTACCCCAGGGTAGGGGTAAGGTCTGCGTACACATTACCCTCCTCAGACTCTACTAATGGGATTATACTGGGTTGTTGTTGTTGTTGCTACTGCATTGAGCACTTTCCTAAAAATTTAACTCAATCCTCACGTTCTTTAAATAGTTGATGTTGTAGCATACCAAACTAATCTATATCACACTGACAGATTCGGATTCAGGATTTAAATCCTATGAATTCAATTTTAAGGTTTTTAATATTGAACCCACTATATTTTTAAAGTTATGAGTTCATATCTACTATTTTTACAATTTTAATAAATTTTTACATACAAATTTTTACTCTGGTTCGAAAGTTATGGGTTCATTTGAACCCGTAGATAGGGCACTACATCCCCCTCTGATGACACAAGTTCAGTTGGGACAACTTTGAAAGAAACAAATAATTAGTACTTTTATTATGGTTTACACTAATATGGAAGAATGTAGTTTTGATACATGATAGATAACGATTACAATGACACACGCAAAGCATACAAATGATAAAGAACTTTAATTAAAACAATGTAATTAGGTACGTGTTCTTTCATAATCAGATGCGATTAGATTCCTTTTGTATATCTTTTTCTTGTTTTGCTTCTTATTTTTTTAATCAAGAAAACATGAGATTATTAGAGACGCATATTTCTCCTTCACTTATGTGGCTATGTCGTGTCATCATTCGAGAAGCATTATTGTAATGTGTAAAAATATTTCACCGATACCATTTATCACGTAACACTTACATGATATATTATTTTTCACCAGGTAAATTTTTTATCAGGTAGGTAACTTTTATTTGGTGAAAAAAATAATTATCTAGTTTTATGATCTTACTACAATAAACCATATAGTTTAGTGATAATAACTGAAATTATCAGAGTTGACATGGCATGGTCATCGTGGCATTTTTGCTGATTTAGATTGCCTGTTTGGCTTTCTGGTGTTGTTTGATGGGGTTTTCGGGCATTTTGTCTTTTTGATTAATTCATCATAGGAAAATTTAGTTATTTTTAAGTGATTTAGATGCACACTTAACATCACATTTCCATTGGAACTTAATTGAAAGAAGCTCACAATCTGAACTTGCCGTGATGCACTCTAACTAGAAAACAAAAATATAACAAAATAATTCTCGAAACATAAGATCTACTATTCAAGTAAATGATATACTGTGCAAATATGCTATACTAATCCATGTTGTAAATGACCCCCATAAACTTATAATATTCATCATAGATTTATATATAAGAAATGATAACTTTATATTTTCTAACAGCATTGCACAATGGTTGCATTAGAACTCAAGATTCTTTTCTGTTCAATTCTTCCACCACCTAGCTCAAGTTTAACTTGATATTTAAACTCATATTTAACCTGATAAAAATCTGTTTCATTCTTCTTTCATCTTTCCTGAAAATGTGTGTGAATCTTAATTTCTTTTTAGGTGAATGAGAAAAGCCAGAATCCTTCGTGGAAAGCACTTGGCTACTCTGGACCTGATCCTGATTTTAAGAAGCAAAATCAAGGACCTCAAGATCAAGAAGAAGAAGAAGAACTATTTGGACCACTTTACCAAGGAATCATCAGTCTAAAACAATCACAAAAAAAGACATTCGAGAGGCTGCAAAAAATTGGATTTTCTGTGTCAAAACCCCATAATTTCAACAACACAAGGAGAAGTACAGAGTGCCCTGATTTCACAATTGAATGTGATGCTGTGGTAGTTGGTTCAGGCTCTGGAGGTGGAGTTATAGCTGGTATTCTTGCAAAAGCTGGACACAAAGTACTTGTCCTAGAAAAAGGAAGTTATCTTGCAAGAACAAATCTTTCCCTTCTTGAAGGTCCTTCTATGGATCAAATGTACCTTGGAAATGGACTATTAACAAGCAAGGATATGGATGTTATGCTACTTGCTGGATCAACCGTTGGTGGTGGCTCGACAATTAATTGGTCAGCTTCGATTCAGACTCCACAACATGTTCTAAAAGAGTGGTCCGAAAGGTACAAACTTGATTTATTTCAAAGTGAATTTTACAAGGGGGCTTTGAAGGTTGTATGTGAAAAAATGGGAGTTCAGTCTGAAATTGAGGATGAAGGTTTCCAAAACATGATTTTGAGAAAAGGGTGTCAAGAATTGGGATATCAAGTGGAAACAATCCCTAGGAACGCGCAGTCGGATCATTACTGTGGATGGTGTAGCATGGGATGCAAAGATGGGAAGAAAAAAGGCACAGCTGAGACATGGCTAGTGGATTTGGTCAAATCAGGCAATGGTGCAATATTTCCTGAATGTGAAGCATTGGAAGTGATCCATGTAAAAAAGAATGACAACTCAGGAAAAAGTAAAGCCATTGGAGTTGCTTTTGCATTTCAAAATGGAAAAGGGGTGAGAGAAATTTGCATGGTGAAATCAAAAGTAACAATTGTAGCTTGTGGTGCTCTTAGCACACCTTCATTGCTTAAGAGAAGTGGCTTAAAGAATCCAAATATCGGCAGAAACTTACACCTCCATCCAGTCGTTATCGCCTGGGGATACTTTCCAGATACTCCATCTGATTCTAATGTATTATGGCCTGAGGCGGACAAGAAAAGTTACGAAGGAGGAATAATGACAGCAATGTCTAAAGTCGTGGCGAATTTCGAAGGATCAGGATATGGTGCAATCATACAAACTCCAGGTTTGCACCCTGGCATGTTTTCAGCACTAATGCCATGGGTTTCAGGCCTAGATATTAAGATGAGGATGTGCAAATATTCAAGAACCGCATATATTCTCGCGTTGGCAAGAGACAAGGGATCAGGGGAAGCATTCTCACCTTATTCAGTAACTTATAAGATGGATCAAATTGATGAAGAAAATCTAAAATTAGGCCTAGAGAAAATGCTAAGAATCTTGGCAGCTGCTGGTGCAGAAGAAATTGGAACTCAACACGGAAAAGGGAGGAGTTTGAAGGTGAAAGATGCAAGTTTGAAGGAGTTTGAGAGATTTGTGAAAGAAGAAAGTTCAATAGAAATTGGGAATCATTCAGTTCCTATATGTTCAGCACATCAAATGGGAAGTTGTAGAATGGGAGTGGATCCAACAACTTCAGTGGTTAATTCTAAAGGGGAGATATGGGAAGTAGAAGGTTTGTTTCTTGGTGATTCAAGTGTGTTTCCAACTGCTATTGGAGTGAATCCAATGGTCACAATTCAGGCCATTTCTTATTGTACTGCACAATCTGTTGTTCAACTTCTTAAGAATCAAAAGCTGGGATAAAATGGCACTCGTACAAAGGGAAGCATGAAGATTTGTTTTTGTGAAATCTTGAAAAAATAGTTTATGTTTATTGAGGTTTGTGTGAGTAAAACGAGTGGAGTAGGCTTAGCATTGTCTCTACCTTCAGCTAATTATGAGTTGGAGGTTGAAGCAACAGTGTGGGGTAAGATCTTTAGGAGTAAGGGAGAAAATAAGTGTATAAACAAGTCCCAAATCGCGAATCATTCTGATTAAGAGGGATCCATGTATCTTGCCAAATGTAATTGTTAAAATTATATTCTAGTAAATCTGCAGTGACTAATATTTTCCTTTTGAAAATGCCAGAGATTCCTATGTAGAAGATGGGAAGCAAGTTAACGAGCAACAGAGGAGGTTGGCAAATCTGGTAAAAATGATACCAGGTAGCCATTTTAGGACTACTAATAGGAATATGAATCAGCATTTAAAATAACTAATGCTTAGAAATACAGAAAATAATTGAATAATAGTGACACAAACTTAAAGAAATTCTTTTGGAGTCCAAACTACTGCAGGTCAAACTCCAGGACAGTGTCTTAGAGTTCGAAACATGTACAAGTTAAACTTAAAAGACAATGTCTTGGAGTTCGAAACTTAAACAAGTAAATGAAACTTCCGAAAAGTATCCTGAAGTTCACTTATATGGGCGAAGCTCGAGTAAGTTATATTGCGGGTGTTCCGGTTTTGACGAGTTCGGAAATTTAAAAATTATACAAAGTGACAGTTATATTTCTAAAGTTTGATTTTGCATCACCAACCATTCATACCACTATTTGATTTTTCTTTAGACAAGTTTATCATTACCAGGAGCCATAACTGCTTCTTGCAACAACAACCCAGTATAATCCCATTGGTGGGGTCTGGGGAGGGTAGTGTGTATGCAAACCTTACCCCTACCATGAGATAGAGAGGTTGTTTCCAATAGACTCTGGGCATCCATAACTGCTTCTTGCAATTCTGTAAATATAGGAGAGATGACTGTAAGCTTAACGACAATTAAAAGATTTTTATCCAGTATCACTATCAGAGCAAGGACTCAAACCAAAATAGACTCAAGAATTTACGGAACACGACCCATAGAAGCACAAAGATTCACACCTTTTATTCAGCTCACACCCAATTCAATTTAACCATGTGCTAGGCCGGCTCTAACAATATGGTGGGTAAGACATGTGCCTTATGCCCCCAATTTTGAGGGATCCCATTTTTTTGAAATAATATATATTTCTTAGGTATTTAAAAAAATAATATGCAGTAGTACTTTTGTGTTTTTTATATAAATGGAAAGAAAATCTTTTAGAGTAAATAAAGTAAAATTTTGACTTACTTAAAAATGATAGATGAATAATTTTCAATTTGAGTTGATTTAATAATTCCATTTTTTACTCATTCTTTTCTAATGTTTTAATTTTACTCTTCATATTCCAGAACCTACATATCTTCTTCCTTTCTCTTTATTCTTGCTCACCTTCTTGTATTCTTTCTCCAATAATTTTTTCTTTCTCCAAAATTTTATTTTTCACCTTCTTTCTCCAAAAATTTATTAATTCAAGTGTTCAATAATATTTTTAAGATTCCAATAGTTCTATACTTCTATTACTTTATAAGAAATATAGTATAGTTTTCAAGATTTACAGCAAAAATTTTGAAGTAGACAAGCAACAACTAGATATTTTGCACTCAAAGTCTTCATTCTTCAAATTTCCTGAATCAGTAATCGGGTAATATCTTTCTAGTATTGTTTTTATTTGGTATTTCATTAATTTTACTCCATACATATTATTTAAGTTTTTTTTTTTAAAATTGAAATACTTAGGCCTCACATTTGACTTTGGACTTAGGCCTCAAATGCTATTGAGCCGCCCCTGACCATGTGCAGAACAATCCGAGAAGAAGAAGATTCAGTTAGTATTCCTAAAAATGGATATTTGCGAAAATCACCGCTCAATAACGTGAAAACATAATCAGAAATGCAGGATAAGGTTGCGTATGATAGATCCTTGTGATCTGACTCTTCCCCAAACCTTGCGTATATAACGGAGCTTAGTGCACCGAGTCGTCCTTTTGACACCCCTCAATAACGTGTCGTGAAGTTGAATGTGGTGAGAAGTTGAATTCATTTGTTAGTTTTTCATCCAATCCAATAAATGAAATCTAGGCTCGAGTCAATGTCCATCTATTCAAATGGTATCAAATATTTCTAATTCGTAAAAATATTTTATACCAAAGCATAATATACATATACTTTTATGAAAGTCTAATGAAATAATAAAATATAAATTGCAGAAGTTATTCTATAATTACAGTATATAAATAAATGAGAGTTGGGATGTACGAACAAGGACAAAATCGTAACTCTACTTTATTCTTTTTTCCAAAAGTGTGTAACATGTACTACTTTCTGTAAACTACGTGTATCATTTTATGTCAAAGATGACACATCCCTATTCATTTCTATTTGAATGGATAATAATTCATGTATCCACAACCTTGCGCGCATACTGCCGGCGAGATTTTGGTGTTCAGATGTCTCAATACAGGAACCTGATTCCACACGCCCAAATAGACTCATATGAATAATGAGAACTAAATTCATATGCTAGCATGGTGGGTGCATATAAGGCAACAATATATGACTATGCAGTTCTACCATGTAAGATAAGTACATGAAATCCATAATATTAAACTAGTATATGAAGGATGCCTATAACATTATCCTAGCATTGATAAGATGTTTAAGTAGTTATACAACAGATGAAATATGCAACAAGTAGAGTCATGTAATTGATTAAGGCATAGAAAAAGCTAAGAAATACTCTAGGTATGAATAGACTATAGTGCCCGCATATACGCTCATCACCTCGTATATATGCTACCTTCAAACACGTAGCATGTAATAAATAGGTCCATTTTTTAAGAAAAATCTCTCAGGTCGAGGTTAGCCAGGATACTTACCTTATCTGAAATAAACTCCAACCTTCCAAAATGCCTTTTTCATTATCTCTTGCTTCAAATGCTCAAAATGTAGCAAAAAATACTCAACGCATTTAAATAAAGCAATAAGAATCAACTCCAAATGATAAAACTTTGATCTTTAATTAACTCTCAAAAGTCAGCAAAAGTCAATCACATGCTCATATGGTCAAAAACGTGAGACTAAGATCAGATAACATTGACCCATAGCCTAATGAATTTAAATATGTAATTAGTTCCTAAATTCGAGTCCAAATCTATCACGACCTGAAAATCCCAACATCGGGCCGTGATGGCGCCTGACATCTGTTTGCTAGGCAAGCGAACCTTAGATAATTAATTAACCAATTTTAACAATAATAACCAGGTGATGATGATTAACAATGAATAAACTCTGAAATGAACACAACATTAATATAAATAACGTGGTGCTAGACTACTCCCAGAAATCCGGAGTTACAAGTATATGAGAAACTAGAATACTACAAATATGGTCTGAAATAAAGTATCAATGTTCGAAACTAAATAAACAGTAAAACATGATAGAAAGGGACTTCAGGGACAGCGAACGCCAACAACTCTACCTCAAGTCTCCGAAGGCAGCTGAATTCGAGCAGTCTCACTACGCGCCACTAGGACCAATACCGGGATCTGCACAAGAAGTGCAAAAGTGTAGCATAAGTACAAACGACCCCATGTACTTTATAAGTGTCGAGCCTAATCTTGATGAAGTAATGACGAGGTTATGGCAAGTCACTCACAAATAACCTGTACGAAACAATAATAACAGAAACATGAATAAAAATAAAATAGTAAACTCAAATAACTGGACTCGTAGGTCAACTACCAGCGGGCCCTAGAATAACATAATCTCGAATCTCATATCACAATACCGAGAACAATCTCTACAGCCACAAACAACTACAACACATCAAATTCGTTGCGGCGCGTAACCCGATCCCACCATATCATCATATGTTCATATCATATTCCATCCTTATCTCTTCATATCATATCATTTTAATACTATTACAACGTACAACCAGATTCCACAATATCAATTTATTTCAATACCGTTGCGACGCCCAACCCGATCTCAACAATATTAATTTATTATCATAAATAACTCAATACTAACATTTACGAAATATCAACACAAAAGAAGATGAAGCATACAGAACATTTAAGGACCACCAATATAATGAAGAATATCCAACACCTCGATTTCCCAAACCTTATCAACTAATCAATACAAAAATAGATAAATGGCTCACGAAAGAGAAATAACATAATAGAGTATATCGAATAATAGAAGGACAATAAAAGCAGGTAAAACATGTGACAATGAAAATATACAAAAAAGGCAAGTAGGAACAAGTAGCAGGTAAGCAGATTATTGAGTGAGAAATAAACAAAATCAAGCAAATAACAATTAAGTAACAAGTTAACAAGTAAAACATAGATGTCAAGTAGAAACATGAAATAATTAAGCATATAACAAGAGACAACATGGAATAACGAAGATATGAAAATAAATTGTCCAATCCCGCATGCTAAATTCAACGATGGCGCATATACAATCGCCACCTTGCATAAAACCTATTTTCCCACATAATTCACATAGACAATAGTTCAACGGGTCATAATTTTCTCAAGTCAAGGTTAGACACAAAATTACCTCTTTTTGTAATCAAATCAACACTCAACCACGGCCTTTCCTTTAGAACTAGCCTCAAAACCAGTCAAGTCTAACCAAATATAATTCAGATAATTCAATCTTTAATGAATTTGAAAAAAGTCAACAAAAGTCAACCTCGTGCCCGCCCGGTCAAAACTCGAGTCCAATTCGACTCTCAAATCCCATATTTATATTTTTCAAAACATAGACAAAAATCCCCAAAATCTTTTCTTAGATTCTCATGAATTTGATGTTAAATCCCATGTATAATCAAGTAATATAATTAAAAATAGATCAAAATTACTTACCCAATGATTGTAGTTACAAATCCCCTCTCCAAATCACCTCCTACCGAGTCTAGGATTGTAAAATGAGAGAAATGGGATTAAATCCCGACTTCCCAGGCCTTTTGTTCAGGTGCAAATGTCGTAAAAATGAAACTGGGTTCGCAATTGTGACACTGGGTTTGCAATTGCTAATAAGGACTTGCAATTGTGGCCCTGACATCCTAAAGGGGATGTCGCAAATATGACATTGGCTTTGCATTTGCGAAGCCTGTTCCCATCACAAATGAGGCCAAATAGTCGCAAATGCGAAACTACCCAACTCAAGTACTACTTCGCAATTACGATCCAGGTATTGCA